CTCACACACATGCTCACACTCACACACACACACCCAGTCACACACACACACACACACAGTCACACACACACTCACACTCACTCACACTCACCCCCCCCTCCCCCAGGGAAGCCGTTCCTCCGCGTGCGGCCGCGCGGGACGCGTGTGCAAGAGACGGTGGCGGGGCGGCGCGTGCGGCCGCGTGGCCGTGAGGGTGAGGGCGTTCCCGCCGCCCGAGGCGCGGTGGTAGGTCACGCGGGCGTGCAGGCCCCTCCCCCGGGGTCACGCCCGCCCCTCCCCCGCGTGACACACGCGTGTGCAACCCCGACACCCAAAGCCAAGACCAACCCTCGGCCTGAACCCGCCCAAGCTGCCTCACGCCCGTGTGCGTCACGCCCGTGTGTCGTTCACGTGTGTCGCACGTTCGCGTGTCGCTCGCTCCTGTGTTCACGTGTCACAGCCTCGTGTGTTCTTCACGTGTGTCGCACGCTCGTTTCACATCCTCGCGTGTCCCTCACGTGTGTTGCACGCGCATGTGTCAACCCCCCATGTGTCAGACCCACGTGTGTCCCACCCGTGTTTTGCACGCTCGTGTGTCCCCGGTTCCTCGCCAGTGTCACAGCCTTGTGTCCTGCCCTTGTTTTGCACACGCGTGTTGCACGCTCGTGTGTCACGGCCGCATGTGTCACGCACGCATGTGTCAGACCCGTGTGTGTCCCTCCTGTTTTGCATGCTCGTGTGTCACGCCCACGTGTCAGACCTGCGTGTGTCCCGCCTGTGTTCCTCACGCGTGCGTTGCAAGCTCTTGTGTCCCACGCGTGTGTTGCAAGCTCGTGTGTCACGCCTGCATGTGTTGACCCAGTATGTTTCAGACCCACATGTGTCCTGCCCGTGTGTCGCACACGTGTGCGTTGCACGCTCGTGTGTCATGCCCGCATGTGTTGACCCCGCATGTGTCAGACGTGTGTGTCCCCCGTGTTGCCCACGCGTGTGTCCCCCGAGTGTCCCCCGCCCGCGTGTCCCGTCCGTGTTGCAAGCTTGTGTGTTGCACGCTCGTGTGTCCCGCCCGTGTCGCACGCTCAGTGTCAGCCTCACACATGCGTGTCGCACACTTGGCATTGGTGTCGCACACGTGTCGCTGTTGCACACGCGGCGTTGATGTCGCACACGGGTGTCGCACTCGTGTTGATGTCGGCCTTGCACACGCGTGTCGCACGCTCAGTGTCAGCCTCACACGTGCGTGTCGCACGCGCGGCATCGGTGTCGCACACGCGTGCCGTGACCCTCCCGTGACTTGTGTGAAATAAACTTGTGCACCGGGACGGTGTGAGAACCCGGCAGCCTCCGCCTCGGGACGGGACGACGGGACACGGGGGGAGCGTGAGTGAGCGAGTGTGCAAAACTGAGTGTGTGTGAGGTGAGTGTGCAACTGTGAGTGTGAGGACTCGGTGGCAGGAACGCGCGCGTGTTCGCGTGTGTCCCGCGCACGGCAGCTCCGTGTCGTCGTCCGCGATCCCCTGTGGCTCACTCGAATGCACATGCAGAGGAACACTAGTGCACACACACACACACGCGCGTGCTCGCACGCCCACCCGAATGCACACGCACAGGAACACTAACGCACACACACACACACGCGCGTGCTCGCACGCCCACCCGAATGCACACGCACAGGAACACTAACGCACACGCACGCCCACTCGAATGCACACGCGCTTGCAGTCACGCACCTGCTCACACGTGCCCTTACACACGTGTTCGCACACGCACACGCTCCCTCCTTCCCTCCCTCGCTCGCCCCCTCGTTCCCTCCCTCGCCCCCACGCGGGTGTGAACACTCCAGGCCGCGTGTGCGAATCTTTATTAAAAAACCGCAGCCGCGCGGGGGAGGGGCCCGGGCGTGGGCCGGGCACACGCGCGTGCGCGCGGGGCCCCCACGGGCGTGAGAAATAAATACAAAAGAGCCGAGACCCGCCCGCGCCGGCGGGTCGTGTCACACGTGTGACCCCGGGGCCCGCGCCCGCCCGGGGCTCCCGGTGGGGCGTCCCACGCGTGGCGCGTCGCACGCTGGTCCCGTGGCACGCTGGTCCCGTGGCACGCTCCGTGCTTGCGCCCGACATGCGTGTCCCGCGCACAGAAGACACGCGTCGTGGGGACACGTAGAAAACGGCGCCCGGTCGCGCGTGGGTCACGCGTGGGTGCGTCCTGGCGTCCCGCTCGTGAGGCGAATCCGTCCCGGGGCTCACGCGTGTGGGGAGGTCACGCGTGGGTGAGTCCTGAGCGCGGAGGGGGGAGGGGGCCGCGGGCCGCAGACACGCGTGTCGCCCGCGCACCGGGCGGAGGGAGGCCGGGGTCGGCCGCCTCCGCGCGGGCCGGGTCTGGCCCACGCGTGTAGCCGTGTCCGCGCGCGTGGCGTGTCCGCGCGTGGTGTGTCCCCGCGCGTGTGGCGTGTCCGCGCGTGGGGCGTGTCCGCGCGTGGGGCGTGTCCGCACGTGTGGCGTGTCCGCACGTGTGGCGTGTCCGCGTGTGGCGTGTCCGCGTGTGGCGTGTCCGCGCGTGGCGTGTCCCGCGTGGCGTGTGCGGGCTCAGGGCGCGGCGGCGGCCGCCAGCAGCTCCTGGAAGGCGTCCTCGAAGCAGCGCTTGAGGTCGCCGTAGCTGACCACCAGGACGCTCGTGGCGTCGCGCGACGCCAGGCTGATGCGCTCCGGGACGCCCGCGTCCAGCTGCCGGGGGACACGGACACGCGCGTCAGCGGACACGGGAGGGTGGGAGGGGACACGCGTGTCAGGGGCGACACGGGGGGGGGGGAGGGGACACGCGTGTCGGGGGAAACCTGATGGTCGGGGGGACACGCGTGTCGGAGAAACGTGTCAGGGGGACACGCGTGTCAGGGGAGACGTGAGGGTGGGAGGGAACACCCGTGTCACCGGAGAAAGGCGTGTCAGGAAGAACACGCGAAGGTCGGGGGACACGACGGCTGGGGAAAACACGCGTGTCAGGGGAAACACGCTGGGGTCAGGGGGACACGTGGGGGTCGGGCACACGCGTGTCAGGGAAGAACACGCGTGGGTCAGGGGGGCGGGAGGGGCTCCGCCTGTGCACACACACATCGTTCCCACGCGTGTGCGCCACGTCGTGTCCTGCCCGCAATCACACGCACACGCCCTGGCACGCGCACCTTGTTGAGGCAGGACACGATGTGGCTGAGGTCGATCCACGGGCCCCGCCCCCGCCCTGGCACGCGCCCTTGCACACGCCCTTGCACGCGCACCTTGTTGAGGCAGGACACGATGTGGCTGAGGTCGATCCACGGGGCTCCGGCCGCCGTGACCTGGTGGAACAGGTGGTCGCGGAAGAGCTTGAGCAGGTACCGGTCGCCCGTCTCCGCCCACGCGGGATCCTTCTGGAACCTGCGGCGCGGGACACGCGTGACGCCCGGGAACACGCGCCGGACGCGCGGGATCACAGGCCTGACGCGCGGGATCACACGGCTGACACCTGGGAACACGCCTGATGCGCGGGAACACACACCTGACACGCGTGACGCCCGGAAAAACACGCCTGACACGCGTGACGCCCGGGAAAACACGCCTCACGCGCGAGATCACACGCATGACAGGCGTGACGGGCCCGAACACGCCTGACACGCTTGACCCCCGGGAACACATACCTGACAAGCGAGACCACGCACCTGACACGCGTGACCCCCCGGGAACACATGCCTGACACGCGTCACACGCCGGAAAAAGTGCCTCACACGCATGACGCGCCGGGACACACACCTGACACGCGTGACCCTCTGGGAACACACGCCTGCCGCTCGCCTGTGCGAGGGAACATGCCAGACACACCTGACACGCCCACTTACCCACGCGACTGGACGCGCGTGAACACATGCATGAGTGAACACAGGAGATGCACACGCCCGACACGTGACGGGGCGCCCGCACACGTGAACACATGCCTGGCGTGTGACGGCAGGCATGCACACGTGAACACGCGTGACAGCGCGCCCACGCCAGCAAACACACGACACACGTGAACACACGCCTGACACTCGCCCACGCGACTGAACATGCGTGAATGCACGCCTGACACGCGTAACGGTGCACCCGTGCCACCGCCCACGCGTGAACACAGCCTGACGCTCGCCCACACGCCCACGCCACGCACGCCAGGCCGTGCCCGACCCCGCGCCCACGCAAACACGCGTGAACACATGAGGGCACGGCGCACGCCCGGGCCGCGGACACGCGTGAAGGCCCCTCCCGGCCGGTCCGTTCCCGCCGGACACCCCCAGTGCCTCCCCCGACACGCGTGAAACCCGTCAACACGCGTGAAGCCACACCGACACGGGTGAAGCCCCCGACACGCGTGCAGCCCCCCACGCGTGCACCCCCCCCGCGTGTAACCCCCCGCCCCGCGTGAAACCCCCCATGCGTGTAACCCCCCGACCCGCGTGACTCACTCCGGCCGCTCGTTGATGGTCCCCAGCTTCGCCAGCAGCCGGAACAGACGCCCGTTCTGCACCTCCTGCGGGGACACGCGTGGACAGGGCGGCCGCGGGCACGCGCACACGCGGACACACGCAGACACACGCAGACATGCGCAGACACACGTAGACACACGCAGACACGCACAGACACGGACATGTACACGCACAGACACGCGCGAACACACAGACACACGTAGACACGCACAGACACACGCACATACACGCACAGAAACACGCAGACACACACAGAAACACGCAGACACACACAGAAACACGCACAGACACACGTAGACACGCGCAGACACACGAAGACACGCGCAGACACACGCAGACACACGTAGACACGCGCAGACACACGCAGACACACGCAGACACGGGCAGACACACATAGACACGCACAGACACATGTAGACACGCGCAGACACACGCAGACACGCGCAAACACACACAGACACACACACACACACAGACACACGCAGACACACGTAGACACACGCAGACACACGCAGACACGCGCAGACACACAGACACGCACAGACACATGTAGACACGCGCAGACACACGAAGACACGCGCAGACACGCACAGACACATGTAGACACGCGCAGACACACGTAGACACGCGCAGACACACGTAGACACGCGCAGACACACGAAGACACACGTAGACACGCAGACACGCGCAGACACGCGAAGACACGCGCAGACACACGAAGACACACGCAGACACACACAGACACGCAGACACACGAAGATACACGCAGACACGCGCAGACACACGTAGACACGCAGTGACACACGCAGACACATGCACAGAAACACGCAGACGCAGATACACGTACACGCACAGAAACACGCAGACACACGCGCAGACACAGCCGTACACACCCTCGCACTCACACGCGCTCACACACCCACCCCCGCCCCCCACCTTGGCCAGGTCCTCGACGTAGCTGCGCTCTACGCTCACACCCTCGCACACTCATTCACGCTCTTGCACACTCACCCACGCCTCTTGCACGCCCTTGCACCCCCACCTTGGCCAGGTCCTCCTCGATGACGTCGCCGCGCATCTGCGCTCACACCCTCGCACACTCACTCAGTCACTCACCCTTGCACACTCCCCCTCTTGCACGCCCTTGCACGCCCTTGCACGCCCACCTTGGCCAGGTCCTCCTCGATGACGTCGCTGCGCATCTGCGCGGCGTCGAGCTGCGTGTAGAAGCGGGCGCCGATCATGGGCATGATGTCGTGCACCGAGCGCGGCCGGCCCGGGTCCCCCAGCAGGTACCTGCGGGCACACGCGCGTGCAAGGCTGTGACGGCGTGCCCCGAGCGCGGCCGGCCCGGCTCCCCCAGCAGGTGCCTGCGGGCACACGCGCGTGCAAGGCTGTGAGTGTGCAACAGGGGGAGCGCGGCCGGCCCGGCCAGCAGGTGCCTGCGGGGACATCAGTGAGCTCACACACCCCCCTTGCACACTCCCTTGCACACTCCCAGCACGAGGTTCTTGAGGTCGGCTGAGTAGTGCAGGCTCACACACCCCCCTTGCACACTCCCCCTTGCACACTCCCAGCACGAGGTTCTTGAGGTCGGCCGAGTAGTGCAGGCTCACACACC